CTCTGCTTTGATTTAATTAAATGTTTACTTGTTTTGAAGTATCCAATTGCACTTACTGTAACTATTCTGTGGTTGTGAAGTTTCTTCTCAAGACCATTAGTAACTCTTACCCAATTTAGAAGAACTACTGCTGGCTCGACCTTAATAAAAAAATAATAATATTGTTGCCTCAAAATGGCAATTTGAAGGAGATATGGCATGGAGCACTTCCAAACCGATATTTGTTGGTCTAAGAAGTTTAGAGATCACATCAGTTGCTATCCTAAACTGTTTCATTCAGCCATTACCAAATCTTGAAAAGCTCGACGCGGTAAGGGCAGTCTTCAAAGAATTAATTCCATGTGATTCGTGAAGGACTTAGGGATGAAGATGAACATGCAGGATCAGTTGCTCACTTGAAGGAATTAAGGTTGTCTGGAATTGTCTGGAAGAAAGAAGTAGCACTTGCAAAAAGTTATCTGCAACCCTGGAATTTCTACAAGTATTAAAGAATTTAGTACCATCGTCTGTCATTGTAACATTTGACAACACTAGGGGTAACAAAATGTCATGGATTAGCAACACTTACAACAGCTAAAAGCATGGTGCAACTAACAAGAATGAGTATATCCAAGGATGAACCGAGGGAATATTGAGTCTAGAAACTTTATAAAACTTGACCACTTGTTCTGTCACCTCTATACCAAAACCTGCATTCTTAAGATAGGCATTTCAGGTTGGATCTTAGATACCATGCCACAACTCCTCCAGTTCAGCTACTTCAAAAAATAATCGAGTTCTGGGCTTTTTTAGAGCCACGACCACAAGATAAGAGCCTTGCGCTCTACGACTGACTAAATAGGCAATTTGCTAGTTCTGTTGTTTGTTAAATTAAAAAATCAAACAATAGCGTCGAGAGAACCAATGTAGGCACAAAGTTTATAGCAGGTACATGCTTTAGCTGAGGCATTAGTGTTTCTCTACAACAAGTATTTGAAACCGAAGTGCAAAGTTTAAAACAGCACGGGAAAAAAGAAACAACTTTTCATCTTACCGGCAACGCTCAACGAAGAGACTTCAATATCGAGCCATTACCAATTTATCAAACGTGAATATATTTGAAAAAAAACGATCCTATAGGATTTCCAGCCTGAAGAGTGTACTTCCAGTCTCAGTACGTAACAAGAGACCTCCCACAACTTAGTGATCTAGCAATAGCTTGCAGTGGAGGATGTTTCCAGGCTAGAGGAAGGATCGGATTCAGAAATGACTCTCACCTTCAAGTTCGATCAGCCGATCCTTTGTGAATTGGAGTCCACCGGAGAACTCGAGTGGTAAGCAACAAAAGTGGCCTATGTTAAAAGAGTTAGCAGCATACGAGTGTGGGAAAATGAAGATGCTTGTACACAACTCGACTCCTCACCACCTTTCTTGGTTGACATGGTATCAACTCTCCTACTCCCATTCCAATCTCAATGAATTTATCTTCTTTGATTTGGTTAAAGTGTTTACACATCTTAAAGTAGGGTAACCTACACCAAATATCATTCAACTTAATTTGGGCAAAATGTACTACTTTTACATGTTATTTGTTAGGTTTGTTTAGTTTGCAGAAAAAATTCTAGTGTTATAGGATCCTTGTTACCTTGGCTAAAGGGCGAGCACAACGGCCCATTTTCTCAAGATCCACGTCCATGCGTTCATTTTTGCTTCCTCAAATTTAATTAATCATTTCATTCACTGAATTCACTAGTGCTAATTGCTACTCGCAGTTCATAGATCTTCACTGGGCAGGTTGTGTTCTGATTTGATTTATAAAATTGAGCTTTTTTAAAACTAAAATCAAGTATAAGTTGTGTCGTAACCGGTTTTCGTCCGGGCACGAAATTATTTACTTGACGGGAAAAGTGATGTGAATAAATGTTCTGATTTGATTTATAAAATTGAGCTTTTTTGAAAACTAAAATCAAGTATAAGTTGTGTTGTTCTTTTTTTTAGGATAAGGTCAGATCGCGTTAGAGTCCGAATTTTTTAGAATACAAGATTATGGATGTTTTTTTTTGGGAGAATAAGATCCAGTTAGATTTAAGTTTAGGATAAAAATATCGTATTTGAATTAAACATATATAATAATATAATTATCTCTTATATATTTAGAGATAATTACAATAATATCTTATTTTATATATTTTTAATTAGATATTTATTTTATCAAATAAAAGTAAAATTATATATAGATCGAGTTAGGTCGATTATGAATTTTCACCTCAGAAACCGAATCGAATTTAAGATCAAATAATTTTTCCCTCTAATTATATATAAAAATTATTTTAATTCCAAATATTTTTTAATAGTCGGAGGTGATTATAATATAATATTTTAAAAAAAATTAATCAATAAATAGCATATAAGTCCTACAAACGTAATTATTCGAACCTAAAATTTTTAAATAGAACAATATTTTTTTATCATTAAAATCACCGTATGAGTTATTTAATTCCAAGCATTTAAATTCATAAATATGAGCAATATTTATAAGCTAGTTAAATAAGGATAGAAGATAGGGTAAATGGGTGGGGTTTGTTCCTTAAATAAATTGGTCCCAGTGTCTGCATGGTTTCACGTGTCCTGCTGTCACCGTGGCCGCTAATTACAGCATCAGCTACTGTATAGGATTCGAAGAGAACCCCAAAAAATATTTCATAAAATTAAAAGGAAAAAAAAAACAAAGAGAGTATCCTTTCCAATTCCCTCTTTGTCCCTCACTCTCATGCCTCTTCACTGGATCCCACTTCCTTTTCATGTTCCATTTTCACCCATCATTAATTATGAAACCCTGTTTTTTTCCTCTATATTTGTATTGGATTTAAGGTCAAATTAAATAAATTTCATTTTTAAAATCATGTCTAACATTTAGTTTAGATTTTAATTTGATTCATACTTTAAAAAAACTAACAGAATTTTAAAATTCAATTTGAAGGTCTAAAGCAGGGAAAATCAACAAGATATCAAATAAGCGTCATCTTGATTAGTCGTGACCATATCAAATCAACCCTTAAAAATGAAAAAGTGTCAAAGAATCGAAAAACATGCCAAAAAGCACAAGAAAATATGTCATATAGGCAGAGAAAAACGTACAACAAAGACAGACTTATTGAAAATAAAAAAAAATAAAGATAAGATAAAAAAGAAAAAGACAATTAAGAATATCGGCAGTCGACAACCAACATTAAAGTTGATGTCACCGTCGACCAACAAAGATAAAAAGAAAAATAGATGAGCGACACACCAATAAGAAAAAAAATTGATTTTTAAGGTAAAAGTATTATCGCAATAACTATATAAATGAATTAATGTTTATTTGCTAATGGATTTTTTATTAAGATAATTAGGTGATTATAAGATAGTATCTTTTATAAATATTTTTAGATATTTGATAATGAATTCTCAATTACTACAGTTGTTGGTGTTTAAACCTGTAATCTCGTAGAACAACAATAGTTTATTTAACCACTTACGTAAGTTGATTCATCCGTTAATGGATAATTTTAAGAAAGAAATTGATTGAAAAACAATTGACTTGATATTAAAATCAAATATATCAACGGCCGATGACAACAAAGGATGTCCGTTCAAAAAGAAGTGACAACCTCAAAGGAACAGAAAAGGTCGAAACTTTTGAAGGGAAAAAAGAGAGCAAATAAACCTAGGAAAATTGTTGAGCTTTATATTCAATATTGGCCTCTTTTTTTAAGATAAATAATAAAAAAAGCATTTATTTTCCCATTAAAGTATATAAATTTAAAGAAATAATGTTACTTTAGGTATATAAATTTAAAATTTGTTACTTTTGTATTTATCATATTATTTATATTAGTTTTATTTTATATCAAAGTTTCAATCTTTGGCCCGTCACTTTTTGATAAAATGTTATTATGTGATGTTCTTAATATTTTATTCAAATTAACGAATCTAATTATACTTTTGAACATCACATGAATTAGGTAAAGTTAGAGACGGATGTATGATCTTATATTAAAAGAATAATTTTTTTAAAATATTTAGGAATGAATAAATTTATAAAATTCTAGGTATGATTTTATTCCTCTTCCTACCTCTTCCCTTTTTTTTACAACTCGTGTCAATTTTATTGATCAATCTAACTTTTTTTCTTTAATTTTGTTTTATCGACGGCGACATTGGTTTTGATGTTGGTTGCCGCCCGCCGATTGTCTTTTTTTTTTAGTTTTTTAATAAAAATAATTATATCTCTGTGACATGTTTTTTGCCTTTATGTCACGTTTTTCTCTGCCTTTTGGTAGTTTACAATTTTTTGGGATTGTTTTCATTTATCTTTTTTCTCAGGGTTGGTTTTGATATCGCCACGACTGACCAAGATGATGCTTATTTGTTATCATGATGCTATTCCCTGCTTTGGACTCTCATATTGATTTTGATACGCGATTTGCGTTCGTGGATAGTTTTCTCACGTCTTTTGACTCTGATTTACGATTTGTCGGTGACCTTCAGTAGCTTCATCTCCTTTTGTGGCTTATTTGCCGATGCAATCAGATTTGTTCGTATCTTTATTTTATTCAAGCATTGGTTAGGTTTTTTAACATTTTCCTTTTGTGGTCCTTGTGTGATTTAGGTAGCTAGTTTTTGTGTTAATTGTTATAAGAAAATGTCCTAATTATAATTTAGTTTACGTTTATTGTTATACTCATAAATCTTTATTGTAATTCTATATATTTTTTTTATTTTTAATAAAATTAACGGTTTTCTAAAAAAAAAATTCTAGAAATAAAAACATATCATCAACTAAAAATTCAAAGAAAATATCTATTAATTTAAAATTTTTAAAAGAAGATTACTCATCGATCCTTTCGATTCATCCCTGAGTAGAGGGGTAGTAATTAATTAAGAGTTAATCCAAAAATCAGCATTGAACATTTAGGAGGTGGCAGCATCTGTATTTTTGAGTGTTTCTGCACCATTTTCATGTCCCTTCCTCCTCTCCCATTTCCCTGATACCCTCCCAAACATACAAGAAAAGACCAACAAAAATGTTTGATGGACTGCCGGATCAATTCATAGGCGCCGTCTCCGCCTCATCGGCAACCGCAAGAACCACCGCTCTCCTCCCCCTCTCTTTCACTTCTTTTGACTCTTTGTACATCACGTCCTCTTCAAACTCCCATCATCATTATCATCAGCTGCCACCTCAGTTGTTGCAGCCATTGCACCAGCAGCAGAAGAATAATGAAGAGAGCAGCAGCTTGGTAACTATGAACACGGAGATTAATGAAAGAGATCAGAGATCCATGGCTGAACCCATTGATAATCTTCATCATCATCATCAACCTTGGTCCAACGATGAAGTTCTTGCACTGTTGAGGGTTAGATCCAGCATGGAAACTTGGTTCCCACAATTCACTGGAACATGTCTCAAGGTATACATACGTACATTTCTTCATGTTATTATTCATGTACATATTTATGGAGCCGTTGTTTAATAAAAGAGAGAAGGATACTTCATACTTATAAGTGAATAATGGATAGTAAAATAGAAAGGATAAGTGTTTGATATATAAATATAGGTAATTGTTTATTGCTTAAAATTCAATTTTATATATATATATATAGACACAATTATGGTGGGTGCAGGAAGTTGGCAGAGCTTGGGTTCAAAAGGAGTGCAGATAAATGCAAAAAGAAATTTGAAGAAGGAAGCAGATATTTCAGCACTACCAATTGCAGCAAAAACTACAGGATCTTTAGTGAACTTGAAGAACTTTGCCAAGCTGAGAATCTTCCTCATCATCAGAACCACCAGCTGCAGCAGCGACGGTGGCGGGAGGAGGAGGCTGTTGTTGCAGATGAAAGCAACAAAAACGTGGGAAAGTCAAGGGTATTAGACGACAATATAGGTCAGAATTTGGAAGATGATTCAAAAACTATTGATGTATTATACCAAACTTCACCAGAAAACAACAATGCACCAATATCATCAGATCAGGATAACAAAGGCAATGATGACAACAAAGCCAGCAGCAAGAACAAGAACAACAAGAAGAGGAAAAGAGTGAAGAAACTTGAGATGTTCAAAGGGTTTGTGAGGATATAGTGAACAAGTTGATGATCCAACAGAAGGAGATGCATAATAAGCTGATTGAGTATATGGTGAAGAGAGATGAAGAGAATGTTGCAAGAGAAGAAGCTTGGAAGAAGCAAGAGGTTGATAGGATTGACATGGAGCTTGAACATAGAGCCAAAGAACAAGCTGTTGCTGGTGTTAGACAGGCCACCATGATCAAATTCTTGAGCAAATTCTCACAAAATGGATCTTCAAAAGCCAATGTCTTGGAATTAGGGTTAATACAGCTTCTTCTTCCTTAGTTCCAGTTACAGAAAACCTAATCCTATCATCAATGAACAAAACAAAGTTGATCAAGTTTCTACCGCTTCATCTCCCATAAACCCTAATCCAAAAGCTCCCACTTCATCATTAGCTCCCCAAAACCCTAACCCACCATTGATGGTAAACAAAGCTCCTCAAAACCCTCCGTCCAGCGACAAAGAAGATATCGGAAAGCGATGGCCGAGAGACGAAGTATCGGCATTGATAAACCTGAGATGCAGTCTCTATAACAATGGCAACCACGACAAGGAAGAGGAGCCATGAAGCTCCCCTATGGGAAAGAATCTCGCAAGGGATGTTGGATTTGGGTTACAAGAGAAGTGCAAAGAGGTGCAAGGAGAAATGGGAAAACATTAACAAGTACTTCAGGAAAACCAAAGATGTCAACAAGAAGAGGTCCATTGACTCTAGGACATGCCCTTATTTTCACCAGTTAAGCACTTTGTACAGCCGAGGAACACTCACGGCACCGCCCGAAGGACCGGGAAACCACCCGAAGTCATCGGAAACAGTCTGTACCGTGCAAATTTCTAAAGGTGATGAGACGAACAGCATAATTCAAGAACCGGGTTTTGAATTCGAATTTTAAATCACATGTTAAATTAATTTTTAGTACTATAATATCTAATAACAGCATTAAGAATACTATAGTATATTAGATAAATAATAGTGGGTTGATATTTTTTAACTTTCTTAGAGAATCTGATGTAAACTTTCATGGAGGCCATATATTGTATTGTAGTGAGCACCAACAGTTTGGGAAATGATAATTTAATTTCAGGTCGGAGCTACTTTCATTATATATATGACAATTTTATTCACTTTTTATCATCGTAATTAATTACTGTAATTATAATTTTAAATTCATAGTTTAAATAGGGGCAGTTCACTGTTTGATGCCAAATGAAATAAAAACAATGCGGAAAGAAAATTCGGGAATCTTTTCAGGCAAGAAAATGAGGTTTTGTACATTAGTTGCTGGAAAATTTCAGAAACATGATAGATAATATATTTATATACGTAATCGAAATATATTCATAAATACTTAAACTGAGTATACATTAGTTTATTGGAGAGAAAAATGCGCATATAAAGAGTTTAATTTGAAATTCATTTGTGTTTTTTTTACAAAAACTTTAGGTCAGGTTGTTCTTTCGGTAGCAGATTTAGAAATATTTTTCATGATAGATGTATATGTATTAATAACAAAAAATCATATAGGATAAGTGCAAAAAAATTCTAGGGTGGACAATTTTAATAAAACGGACATATAACATAAAAAATTTCAGATTTCATAATGAATATGTGATCACCCTGGACATGTGAACATCCGCCACTGACTCTCATAGTTTAATTTGAAATTAATTTGTGTTTTTTTTACAAAAACTTTAGGTCAGGTTGTTCTTTCTGTAGTAGATTTAGAAATATTTTTCATGATAGATGTATATGTATTAATAACAAAAAATCATATAGGATAAATATAAAAAAATTCTAGGGTGGACAATTTTAATAAAACGGACATATAACATAAAAAAATTCAGATTTCATAATGAACATGTGACCACCCTGGACATGTGTACATCCGCCATTGACTCTCATAGTCTAGGATCAGGACATACCTAAAACCCAATTGAGATTTATATAGAAATTTATAAATTATTCGTAAAAAATATTGTTGATAAAATTCAAATTTAATTTTATAAATTTAAATTTTTGATAGGTTACAACGACAAAACAGCAGCTCCAACATTATGTTTGTTGGGACCCACCAATTTTCAGGGAAAATTAAATTTTACATTTTCAGAGTGTCTCCATACTATTATGTACGATCGGTAGAGTCGGGTTTTGGATTAATTGTATTTCACTTCAAATATATATTTAAATATAATTATCAAGTTTAAAAATATTTTATTTAATACAAAATTTAATTTTAATTTTGAGATAAATATTTATTTATTTTATATGACCTGATATAAATATTTAAAAATATATTTTATTCGATATAAGAATTTACTTGAAAAATTATAGAGATATATTATATTAATTATTTTTAAATATATAAAAGAATATATCAATATCTCAAATTAGATTAAAACTTTTTTGTATTAAATTCAAATTTAACTCGACTTTATTCTTTACAAAATTTAATCGATCTGAATTTATTTTTTTAAATTATATTATCGGATGGTCAAATTGTCATCCTACTCCCAAGCACTAATTATATAATTTTAGTTTTAAAATTAATTTTTAATTTATTTTGTTATTAATATTCACAATTTTTAGTTATTTTTTAAATAATATTAATTTTAAAGTTTAAATTCATCATTTTTATGTGATTACAATCATAACATCACTACAACCATCATTTATTATAATAGAATTATGAAAAATATAGCATATACTTTTTAATATATATATATATCATAGTTAAATTTAGGCAAAATAGTTACCGTTATAGTAAACTCAATTTATTATTTTCGCCTATATCAATTTTTTGCATCAATTTAGCACTCGAAGTTGTCTATGGTATTCATCTTAGCCCTCAAAGTCCGTTTTGACTAATAAAACCATTAGTCTTTTGCATTTTTCAATAATAACAATTTTCATATCAGCCAAATATTACTGACATGACTTGATGAAGACGTGATATTTATTAAAAAATAATAAAATATTTTATATTTAATAAATACAACAGTTAGAAAAAAAGTCCCCAAAAATCTTATCTAATCACTTAATCTCACTTAAATAAATAATAAAATTTTAGGAATTAGTTCCAACCAGTGTGTTTAATAAATATTTTAACCTAATCTATCACAATCCAATTTTTTATTGTAAAATAATTAATTAATTTAAAGGACTAATTAGTAAGATCTTCATAATTTTAAGGCAGTTTTCAAAATTCCTAAATTTTGAGCGACCTAAGTTGGCATTTACCCCTCTTCTTCAGTTAAAAAAAAGGTGAGATATTTTGTAATATTGGCCGATGGGTTTTGAACCCAAGCCAGAAGGAATGGGGAGCCATGCACTATTTTGTACTGTAGATGAAAAAAAATATAAAATAAATTTTAAAGTTTTTCTTATGGGAATTTAAATCCTCAATTCTTTTATCAATTGAATTAATTTCCTCGGGTGAAAACTTCACCGCCCGTAACTGTTGTCCCGTCGTTCGCTAGTCTCCAGTCGGTGATGGCTTACACCGTCGCCAGCAGCTGCTTTAGTGCCACCCGTGAGTAAACCCCAACTGTCAGCTACCCCGACGAGCCGACGTTCGTCTTAAAATCGTGAAAAACTCGTTCGAAGATCCGAAGCCGATCTCCGTCATCGTTGGGCGGGGAACGTTACAACCGACAGCATTCGATGCGTCGCCTCGTCCCGATTAAAACCCTGGTGGTCGATCTTTGAGCTTCGCTGCCATCTACTATGGAGAGCCCTCGAAAGCTTCGTTGGGAAACTCTAAACTTGTCGCTGATTTTCGCATTTTTTGATCGATTGGGTGATCTTTTCATCACACTGCCACTGCCATATGATTTCTTGCTCCATTCCATCCAAAACCCAACCAAAATCATCGCTTCATCGTTAGTTTTTCGCTGTCCACCGTTGGTTAAGACCTGTTTCTTTTTATTTAATTTTGGATTGATGTTTTGGTTGGATTATTAGGTTAATCTGAGTTGTCTTTGGTGTTTGATGGTGTTCTGGTTAATCGGTCGTCGCCTCCGTCCCTGTTGTCCGCTGTATGCACCACCACGCATCTCCACAGTACGTGGGGCTTCATTCCCAGCTGAGACTTCTGGAAAACTGAGTCAACTCGACCGAGTTGACCGAGTCAACTTAGTCAACTCGTGAGTCAACCCATTGAGTCAACTCAGACCAGTCAAACCCATTGACTGTTGACATATGATCGATGACTTTGACTTTGACTGTGTTGACCGCGGACTTTGACCAAAAAGTTAACTTTTTCAAAATGTCCTATTTTATGTTTTTTGACGTCATGAATCCGAATTCGTAGTCTGTTTCATTAGATTCAAACCAAGTAAATTGTTTTCCAGTGTTTTATCTTTCGATTCGAATAATGTTCCCGATTAAATTCTGTTTATG